TGTGTCTTAGACAGGGTAATATTTTCATAAGAAATACCGTAGAAATAATAAAAATACCGTTTCACTGTCCCAGGATTAACGTGTTATCAAAAATTTCTTATTGTCTTTGATGGATGTCAGTATAATTGCACTTTTGATGGTTGCGGCGCAGATAGCTATTCCTTATTTTTCCGATTTGTCTTGAACAGGGTATGGATTTTCACTTTCTAGTGTCTTAATAGGATCAGGGATTTAGACCGCTGGCGGCACGTACCTATCCAAAATGGGGTCGAGTACCCCCCCGGGTGAGAAATACCAAATCCTAGTTACAATTTTTTTGCTACTATTTACATCAAATTCAAGATCATTTTGGACACTTACGTCATATTTCCATCAAATTTACAACATTAAAAGTGCACGATTTTTTCCAGTGTTTGTGAAAGAGCTTTTATAAAATCATGAAAAATAAGGATTAAACAACACAGCAAGCAAACTTTTCGATATTACACATCTGCTGTAGCCGCGACAACTTACCGTTGACTTGACCAAGAAAATGAAACAGAAAGAAAAATGTGGCAATACTTGAAACAAACATCCCAAAAAGGAAAATTCAAACGTACCTCAGGGGACTAAAGTTCCTTTATTGATCCTTGAGGAAAACACCGAATTACCTTCAAGTCTTTATCCATTTTTAATGCAATAAGTTATTCTTATTACAATGGATAGAATTCTTCCTTTTCAAGTTACTTCACAGCGGCCATCTTGGAGGAACATCAACAAAGGATTTCGTTTCGCCGTCATCTTTTATCTTTTGAATATCATGAGAATGGGTGAAAACGATCAATGGAAATTCGGTTTGATAGTTTTGCAATGTGATCATGGCCAAATTACTGTGGGGGCGGTAACACTTGTTATGTCAATTCATACTCTTTAGGTGTTCCCCAAATTACTTTAGGACTTTGTTCAAGTCTCGTAATTCATGATATATGAGTCACATACATGGGATATTAATGGGGACTATATCATGACAGATTTATGTGTATATTATCTCTAAGTTAAATTAAAGCTTTTTCTTTAGCCCAGTTAATATCATTTGCGAACGACGTATGGGAACCTTAAGGGTACAAGCCATAACGTTGGAGGAATGACAATTATTGTAGAGTGCTCGCACTTAAAGCGTGACATACAACACGGCCGCTCATCTTGTAAACTATACATGTCATGGATGCAATCGATAGGAGGTCCGACGTTTCCTGGGAGAAATATATCTGTTCTCATGTCCAAGCCAGCTGTATGTCACAATGGTTGTCAGAGAGAAATTCCGGAAAAAAGAAATCTCCAGGCAAAAAATATTTTCTAAAAATTTTTGCCAGGAAAATAAAAWTTTCCTAACTACAAAAAACTGCCACCCGTAACATAAAAAAACATAAAAACTTTATATATTTTAAAGAAGGAATCGCGCCATATTTGCTTGTCAGATTGTCGACAYTGTAGCTCAAAAATCTCTTTTCCAGGAAAGACCTCTTACAAGAACAGTTATTTAGAGGARCAGACCGACCCCCTTGCCTCCTCCTGAATCGAGTGTCGTGGGCAATTCCGAATCTGTGGGAAATTGTTGCAGTACTACTTGGTGTGTGAGATTGGGATATATTCAAGCACGTTTGTCATTACTGGGAGTACATATATACTAGACGCAAACTTTGTTACCACATTTTTARTCTTTCCTTCAAATGAGCTCGCGCCCGAAACGTGAAGGTGTCGGTTAAATGTACAATGTCCTCTTATTTACACCCTCTAATAAGCCAATCAGTCCTTTAGAATTCACACAAGTGAGGTAAAACAACAGTTTTTCAATAAGATTTGATTAAACGAAAGAATATGTCATACACCTACTTGCGAAAACGTTGTCATTAGAAAATAGGACATTTGTATTTAGTAAAAGGGAATAAATTAAAAAAGACAAAAGAAGATCACTGTGACTGAACGCTTTCTTTTGTCTTGTTTTAATTTATTCCTTTTTACTCAATTCAAATGTCCTATTTTCTATTACAACGTTGCTGCAAGTAGGTGCATATCTGTGAGATAACTGGTGAACTGAACTCGTAGAGGAAATATCTCAATTGATCGGTCGTATCCTCATCTCGACTTTCTTTGCTGAGTATYCGTGTCCTTTCCAAGTCTTCCAGTTGATACCTTTTCCGCTCACTGACGAACCGTATAAACCATTAAGATTAGASARATGGCAATCACCATACCACCATGCACCTGAAAACTCCACAGCACAATGTCTATCCCAAGAATCGTGATCGTGATCCTTAGTCGAAAAAGCTTGACCGCTACTTGTTTTAGTAAGTGAATCTMCAGCAGTACCTGTAAAAATATTGCAATGATAAGCCTTATACTTGGAAATGCCTTCACCCCATTTAGTTTAATAATCAAAGTGGTACTTTCCACTCGTATGATGAACTATCTAATTATCACTTAAAACAGCGCACTCACACTCACTTTCTATTAGAACTAACTGATTTACCTGAGTATGTACCAAGACTCAACCTGTACCAATCAGCTTCATCATTCACAGCAAAATAATCGTACTCAGCATAGACAGTGTCTTCCAGATCAACACGAAGACTGTGTCGACTTTGTTGGGTCAGTTGGTGGATCTTGTCGAGTCCCAACCAGAATTCTCCAGTTAGACTACCAAAACCAACCTTATAGTCTTGCCATCCCAGAAAAAAGTCTTGTGAGCCATCTTGTCTTCTCTGGATAACTGTCCATCCACCGCCATTGGTTTCTTGGTCACAGAACAACTTTAAAAGATAAGGTCTGTTTTAGCTTTTGAGCCCCGGACCTCCCAGTGCGACCATCCCTTAAATGTCACCCCACTATGGGAACAATCCCAATTATCGACTAAAGATGCCCCGTGTCGAATTGCATAACATATTAGAATTGCACCTTACTTTAAGACTATTGTTGACAGTGTAAACACCACTTTTTTTGCAGCCACAATCAGTGCAGGTTTGAGGTACTACAAGATCGAATGGGAAAGTAATCAGAAAAGACTTAAAAAATATCACCAGGAAGCACTTCTCGTTAGAATCTTCCGTTGACATAGTCAAGCTGTATTTAAGAAGAAGGTGAAAATGTTGTTGACAATTCTCACCTTTTTCGTACATTATTTCATCGTTTCGTTCCTGGCTTGGTCCAGGACAATCTGTTTCCGTAGCGTTCGTAAAAGGATTACGACAGGTACGCGCACGGGTTCGAGTGGTTGGACATTTGCACCACTTACTCCACTGACTCCATATACCATCTGAATTTCAAAATTATATTATTATATTGGTATTATTAGTAATTAGTGTTTATACTTGTGCAGGAAGATGATGAGATTGTTTGGATAATGAGGTAAATATTGGCACTACACGGTACAGTTTTGGRGCTATCTATACTGAAAACAAGGTAATACGGATTTTTCGATTCAGTATGCAGAGAAAGGGTAAAAGCAGAAAGGAAAACAGCAAAAAGGTAAAAGTGAAATTAGCGTTTTCTTTTGTTCTCATCTCCTTCAAGGAACAAACAGATTGAAGAAACCWTTGTCCAAATTTCATTGTCCAATCGCTTACCTGTGCAGTTGAAACTATTGTTGTAAAAATCTGGAATGCAGTGTTGTCTAACATTACAAGGTTTAGACGAGCACGGGCTCTGCAAATGTAAAATTTCTGTAAAGATCCTCATTATTCCCTTCTATATCTTTCATTATATATTAGTTTGCAACGAGAATTGTTCAGTCGAAAAGCTTTTTAACCCTGTTTACCTTGAGTGGGCAATATTGAGAACCTTCTTGTGGTATGACGTCAACTGGGTATGTCAAGTGATCCAGGTCATTTAACTCACATGTCGTGATCTGTCCCCTCACGGGGACCAAGTTGTACGATACACACGGGGTCTTTTCTTTGAAACATCTAGACTGACATTCTTCTAAGCCGGGAGCTAGGATTCGAAAGCTCTTGATCACGTGACCTGTAAAGGTTTTGTTTTTGACGCAAGGAAGATAAACCAGTTCTTTACAGCCATTTTCACCTGTAGGGAAAAAAATCAAGAGGATATTAATTATATGTGACTAAATGATTTCAAAAACCTCTGGTGCAGTTTGAACGCTTTGTTCTTTGGGCCCGTCCAGACTGTTTCAAAGGTTTTGTGTCCGCAAATGTTTAAAATTTTGTGCATGGTTTTGAGCTAGTTGTATTTCTTCGTATTGACATACACTTGACGTCAAAAAATGTTTGAAATTTAAGTGAACGTAAAATCCTTTTTCGGCTATATCACTTTTAAGATGGGCCTAAATACGCTCGAAATAAATTGCTTTTCATCTTCGCAAATCGATTTCCCGGATGTGCGGACGCGTCGAAGTTATGACAAAATTTCCGTGTTGTTATTTCGCTCTTCTGTGGATTTTTTGCTTGTGATTAATTGTTCTAATGTTATCAATATGGAATATAAATGTGTAAGGAAAAAATTTCGATTTTTCAACAAACATTTGGCGTTTTTTTCCTTTTCGAGCGGAGTATGGGTTTCCTGTGGTGGTACACGCACTCCAGGAAGGAAGGACGGACGGAAGGACGGAAGGAAACGTACGCACGCGCGGGAACCCTGTGTCGGTCCATGGAAAATGGTATACCATTTTTTCTTAGCTATGGCGCTCCGCTCGGGAGTTCCGCTATAATAGCCAAATATAAAACTTTTTAAAAAAGAGTCACAAAGCTGGAAGCTTTTGGAAACCCTTTCGAGCAGTTAGAGCTTTCGCCTTGACTATTTAYGTAAAACAGATCAAAAATATCTTTTTACAAAAAGCTTTCAGTCCACTATTTCATCGTTTCAATAGATGAATGGAAATAAAAAACAACTCCTTTACAAGTGTCTATAAGGCTTACAACCTCCTCAAAGTTGTTAAAGCAAAGTCTTTAAAATGAAAAAAAAAAAAAATAGTGAATATGAAAATGAGAACTTACCGTAAACTAAACGAAAAATAATGATCCAGGCGATGATCACACTTTTCGTAGAAAACATTGCGATGAGATCGATGTGTTGACGCAATGAGCGAGCATGAAGCTCAAAAGTATGAAAACATAAACTCGATAAATTTTGCTGCATGATGCCCATAAATATGTAGGAAGACATGCCAACAATCTACTATGTAGTTTCGGAACACCTTTATATAGCGAGCAGGTACTTGTTCAACAAATCYGGTTTTAAAGGAGAACTGTTTCCTTTTACTGAAAATATCGTGCTTGATAGTTTTTCTCAGCAAGTATTCGGCTCTGTTATTTAAAGAGAACACAAAACGACGCTATCTCTTTCAGTTTTTTTTACCTTTTGTACAAAACAATGCAAGTTTGTRTCATGTGGAGGGATTTCAGGACTTGCAGCCAAATTATTTCAAAATTGATGAAAATATGTAATTATGTTTAGTAATTTGAATTATTGTGCAAAAACTCTGAATGTCAGTGTTCCTATGTCTTCATGAAGACAAGATCAAAAAGTGTTTTTTTTTGGGGGGGGGGGGGGGGGGGGGGGGGGTGAGCAAAGTGGAGAATTCGAATATGACCTCTTGAAATGATCTACACAACACTTCAATGCAATTTTTTATTTGTACCTCCAGGAGGTCCGTTGGGCGAGTGCCCGAGACTTGGCGCTTGTTTTTCTCGTACATAGAAAGGCATGCAAAACTAATAATAACTCTCCTACTAAAATTAAACTATAATTTAAACTTCTTCACTGGTCCAGAAACTTTTCGGACCATGTGTTCTGTGGCCCAAGATGCAATGAGACTGATAAACGTTCACGGGATACTACTAATAACAWARMWGSYG